AAACCCCCCGCCTTATACGCGTGAAATTAGGGTAGTAGACATCTCACAAGCCCACAAGAGGGGGGAGGAGGAGACGGGTCTGAGTATTGAGAGTTTCTCCCCAGATTCATTCATGTATTTATCACAGCCATATGGTTTGCATCTGCACATGTCATGTTCTTTGTGGTTTCTGAGCATCGGGAAACATCTTGCTTATCTTCCCACGTCCGGCTCATTCTTTACCTCATCCTACTCCCAATCGAGTTTTCTTTCATTTTCGAGCAATAGAAATTATTGTTCAATGCTTTGTAGCCGTACTTAATGTCATTTTTGAGTTTCTTGCGTCCAGAACTGAAAAAACATTACATGCAATTTTCTGAAGCGTTCGTCTGCAAAGCATTTTATTTAGTCTAAAGTCCAGGGCCCTGCTCCTGTCAAATTCTTCTTAAAATAGCAGACACGAAGGTTTTGCCATTGGCCTTGTCGCTTGTCAATTCCCGTCGTTAATTGCCATACGACATATCCCCATATTTTGCATAGAATTATTTTGTTGTTGCAAGAAATTATCCATCCTGCCTATCTCATCCATCAATGTATTATGCTATCCCTAAGATGATTATAGCCAAGCACGAAAGGGCTATCGATTGTAGGGAAGAAAATGTTAGGGGAAATTATGGGCACAAGGGACCGGGTGTGATGTTCCTGCCAAGTTTTTGCGATAATCTAATCGCTGGAAGCACTCGCTGTAAATGAGGAAATGAGGACGAGTTTTTGAGATTAAAAGTCCTTTAGGTAGAATTATCATGCTCAGCGCTTTTTTTAGCTTCTAATACGGTAGCTTGATAATTCTGCAATCAGCTAATAAGGGGTGTGCTATACACTGAAATAAGAGCAATCTCTGATACGCCTAAAAATAATGGATGGTTCGAGCAACAAAAACAATTTTTCAGCTAATTTTCAAAAATGCCTTGATATTTGTCGAAGCAAAAAATGCATCTAGAAATTCACAGGCACATTGATCGTCAGTTGCAGTCTGTTCGCGAGCGAATGTTACGTAATTTTCTTGTGATATTTATCTTGCACGCTTTGTTATGGCTTCCTGAAAGGCTACAAAGCAGAACACGGTCAAAGAAATCACATCTTCTTTTCGCTGTAGAATTTTCCACACGTGACTGTAGATGATTCGATAACACTGCTGATATGAAGGCATGGAAGATCACGTGCTTCGAGAATAAACTGCCAAAATTTATTTGGAATTCTTTGAGAAATTAAACACAAATTCTTCTCAATAATTAGGAAATCTATGTGAAATCCAAGAAAGCATAAAGATAATAGAGCTTCTGTTCCCAAATTATATGAGGCTGTTCCCTATATAGCATGAGAATTTCTCTGGGTGTTCAAATAACTTGATTTATATCTTGCTTCTATTTAAAAAATGCCATATTCTATAGGGTGTCCCAAAAAAATGTGCCCACTGTTTGATTGTAAATAACTCTTTTGTAGTGGAGTGTTTCGAGAAGCTTTGGGTACCATTTTGTAGAGCGAAGTTCAACTTAGGTTTACAGTGTGCGAATCGCCGATCGCTCATTCTTACTGTAGGATTACGGTGGAAACTTTGAAAGGGTTTTAAGCCATGAAAGGCCATATTTTGTTCCAAAAAAACCAAAACAACCTGAAAACTCTCACACTGGGCTAACTAGAGCTGCTGATTCTAATTGTGAAGTTCGCAACTCTTCGTAATGCTTCATTAAAAAATTATACGAGGTAAGCAGTAGCAGACGTTTAAGTGTTTCTGAAAAGTGCGGTTACACCGTTTAGAAAGCTTCTCGACCTTGTAAAGAGTTGGGTATTGAACTCATCGTTCATGAAAACCCTATTACACAAATTTCCACATTTTTTTGAAAATTTTTGAACGGCCGCTTTTTTCACAGTGACACCAAAGACGAGAGAGTATATGTTTGAAGTTTCTACCGTAGTCCTACAGTAAGAATGAGCGATTGGCGATTCGCGCTGCACTGTAAATCTAAGTTGAACCTCGCTCTACAAAATGGTACCTAAAGCTTCTCGAAACACTTCACTACAAGAGGGTTATTTACAATCAAGTGTGCACAGTTTTTTTTGGGACACCCTGTATATGAACAAGAAATTCCGTTTAAGTGGAATCAAAAGAGCAAATGAAAAAATCAAGAAATTAAAACCATTCGTGAAAGATCCCGAGTTGCATAAAGTTTTTGGAGTTTGACTTGATAACTGGCAATTTATATTACTGGCTTGCGGGAATTTTTCTTTTTTAATTCTTCCTTTTTCTAAAGGTCGTGGAAAAATCAGAGAGCGGAGCTTGGCTTGTGGATCAAGTAGGAAGGTTATGCTTATTCTCCATATCTCTAATGCAAAATTGAAAAAAAAGAACTGAATTTGTCAGGAACTTATAAAAAACAAGATCAAAAAAATTTGTGTAAGATTCGCAAGTAATACCGTAATCCTACGCCAGAGTCATCGAAAATCGATTGATTCTGTCACTGGACTGGACGATAAGTCCACGCGAACAGTGATGCTACATTGATTGATAGTGGGTCAGCTGTACAGAGGTCAGCTATCTGATAGTAAATAATGCAAAGGACAGCCGATGTACTCAGCAGCTGAGAATGCTGTGTGGAACAGCTTTCCCACAGTCGTTTGATAATATGCTTTTTTTCTCCTCCCATAATTCGAATTTTTTGGGTATTAGGGGATATCCGGCCCATTTTTATGGGTACGGATATCGTAAATGCATTGTTTGATGACTCAATCGAATGAAGTTGAATGAATGCGTAGGAGAAAGCGAACACCGCCAATGTGTCATCATCGTATGCGTTTACAAATAACCAGGCGTTTGATTGGCAACATTTCTGTCTATGAAAGTTCGGCAATGTTCTAGAAAACATTGAAAAAATAGTCTGAAAAACGCGTCACAGTTATAACACGAATTAATTAGTCAGCCCCACCTACGAGGAGTTTTGCATCCCAATCAAAATAATCTCCAGCGCATATATCACTCTGTGGGCGGAGTTATGCTAGTGGGCGTGGTCGTCGTTTCTGCAAATCCCTTCAACTTCATGCATCAGGAGATATAACCCAATAGCAATAAATAGATTGAATGAATCCGTCAAGAGAATCGAGTAATAGCCACGCCTACTGTTCTAACTCCGCCCATTAGACAAACCCCACTCACTAACAATCTTTCGCTCATAGCGCGGAGTACACTTAGAGTTACCTCCCCCCTCCAGATTGCTTTCGTTTGTAATCTTCCAAGCCGACCCGCGTTCATCTTCGCTTCTACCTCTCTCCCTAGGTTAACTCCGCCTACTGTAATAACCCCGCCCACCTGCAATCATTTTAGGTTATTAAGCGCAGCAATTATGTCATGAGTCATTCTTCAATGATTGTTTTGATTCCATCGTTCTGCATTTCTCAAGTTTGTCTCCCTCTCCCCCCCCCCCTTATGAGAGAACTCGACAGCAATTCAACAAGAAAATGTGTGGTAGCCCACAGGAATCATCCCGCCCATTTACCATCATTTTTAATTTCCTGAGGGGCTAAAAGTTTGAGTTCCGGAATAACCTTTCATTCTGCTTGTGATTGTCCACGTTTCGAATTCGTCTTCATTATCTCTCCCCCCCCCCCCTTCCCACTCCTGTAATAAAACACGACAACAACTGACAACTCACCTGCTGCACTTTCATAATCTCAAATTACAACGTGACTGAGTTCATTGTCACAATGCAATCTGTCATTTCCTCTAGCTAATTCGATCCCAAAAGTACTTCTTAGATTCTGAAATTCTTCAAGAGTGCATTTTGGCCGTGTGTTTTGCAAAAGTTCCTCTTCGCCCTTGGAATGCCCCTTCGGGCCGTAGACGCCCGTAAACATTCCACTTGGCGACACAGCAGAACACGGGGCGTGGCCAGTAGGCCGGGGGGGGGGGGACTCTCGGGGACATATCCAATCTCTTCACACGTTCCGCGTATGCCTCGCTCTGGCTCTGTGGCTCTGAAGGCCTGGCGTCTGAGCCGAGGCCGAGCTGAGCCGGGCCTTGCCACATCGATTCAATTTAATTTAGTACTAGCATGTTTACCACATAGCAATCGACTTTTCACAGCCCGTGAGCCGCAGAGGAGAGGGTTAATTTTTTTTCTGAAGTTTACTTATTTATAGCCGTGTCATATGGCCTGCAGCTCTGAATTTTTGCCATGTTTCATGTATCAGAATGATATTGAGTCTTGCACAAGAAATTTGAAAAGTTCGCAATCCTTTGCAACTTGAATAACACTCTTTACTTTGTCATATTTTAGATAGAAAAAATTTTTGCACTTAAATACTTAAAACAAATGTAATACTTCTATATAAAAAAATGCAAGCTAGTGAAAAAAGCACTCAAAAAATGGCCTTTTGAATTTCGCTCGCTATAATTACTAAACTTCTATTAATTTTAGTCTCGCTATAATTACTAAACTTCTACAAATTTTAGTTTGTTTTTGTAAAATTTTGTAAAATGCTTTTTTTATCCCAGGAAAATTCGTGCTCCCCAATGTTTTTACGATTGTATGATTTTTGAATTTCCTCAATCAACTTTTCGTTCTCAAGTGAAAACTCTTACTTTTTCGATGAAATACTACTTTTGATAAATGTTACACAAACTGCATGATATGCTTTGAAAATATTCAACTGGATTTTAGAGTAATCAATAATTTTCGTTTTCCTTGATGCTTGGCATTATTGTCAATACTCTTTATTTTTGTGTGCCATACTTGTGCCTACTGTAAAGATTTTTGGAGCAAATTTTTTGTATTTTTTTGAGCAAGACTTATGTTTCAATCTCATGGTCCCTTCAAACATCGAGAAACATCTTCCTTATTTTCTCCAGTCCTACTCGTTGTTTGTTCCCCCCCCCCCCCCGTCTCCATCGTCCCAATGTAATTGTTTTTTCCCTATTCTCGAACAATACGAATTCTTCGCTCCAATTGATCTATTGCAAGCACGTAGAATTATAGGGAGCAGGTTGGCTGACTGGAAGAAAACCTCCAGAGCATGTGTGAAATTACACCTAGCAACAGGCTTCACTAATATTCACGAACAAATCAAAAATCGCGAAAAATGGGTTCGACGGGATGCTCACCGTGTCGGAATGCATTCCGACATCTTCTGCTTACGTTGGGCTTTTTCTGCCTAACTTCTGTTAATTCGAACTATATTATTATTAATTTTACATTTATTTGTATGGCAAGGCCGTTGATGAGCGATGACATGTCGCCGGCTGGAAATGATGTGAGTTTATGTCTATTTTCATTTGTTTACTGCTTCTCGGAGTAAAATTTCTCGTTTCTCATTTATGCATAGGCTGGTGCATATTCTTTGCTATTTTGTGGCTAAAAATAGATGAAATTATTTCCAATTTACAGCAAAGCTTAATCGCTTTGTTCAAAAAACTTTAGTTCTAATCTTCAGAAGAATTTTAGTAGCTTTGCGGCTTTGCTACAGATTCTATATCGATCAAATGCCCTTTGCCTCATTATCATCATTAGCTTGCAGTCGAGGCCGTTATATTTTCCTTGGAAACTCTGTAGAGCTCGTATTTCAAGCTTACTGAAGCTCGTTCTGATCGATGCCAGCATGAATTTCACTTTTCGCTTCAAAATGGCATCCGGCGCAGGAACAATGGCCTATAGAAACAAGTGCAGCCAGGAATCGTTCAAATATGTAAAAATTGAAAATTCTCACAAAATAGTAATCAATCCCGATCCTGAACTCTGCTTTGGAAATTTGTGATGTACAAAACACCAATTTGGAACCTGTAAAATTCTCCGAAAAACTCGCAAATTTCGCATAGTTTAATTTTATTTCACGTTTTGGCCATTACGATGAGATTCATCTAACTAAATATTTTGCAATAAAAATTTCACAATTTTCAGCTACCAGATTAAAAACAAATGCAGCAAGAACTAGAAATTATGTATAGTTCAGTTCCTCTTATTTTTTTTTATTTTGGTGGCAGCTTGGAAGAGTCTTGGATTTTTATGAGCTCAAAAATTTTGTCTACAACTTCGCCGAACTTTTGTATTTTTAAGATTTTTAATTCAACGGAAATGTGGTATAATTGTTCACGTGTCTTCGTTTTCATAATACAAGCATTAAATTTGCTGCCTCTTAAATCATCGGAAATTCCATCTTTGAAATTTCGCAATTAACTTCACTTTGGAACATTTTTTGGTCAACTTTGACGTCATAAGATCTAGCGCAGTAAGTAAGGAAAATTGTTGGTTGTTGATCTGTTTCAGTAACGCCTTGATCTCTAGTTAATTTGTCTAAAAAATTTTCGTACTGTAAAGATTACAATCTAGAGAACTTCAAATTTCACACTTACTAAACGAAATTCGTTTTCAATGAATTCACTACCTGGCAGTAACTTCGAAAAATCAGTCGTTCGCTTTGGGCCACATTTTTAAAATCTCCTGCCCCCGATCCATATGTCGTTCATCCCCGAAAAACCGCTGTCATCATAAAAGTTGACGACTCACTTTGCCTGCTCATATGGGTCGTATAACCGAAGCCATAAAAAAGCCAGCTGCAGAAAGAGCAGCGGCTTTTGTTTACACTGACAAATGGCGAGAGTTGACAATATAAGAAACGCCCTTGTAACTGTGTCAACTTGACAGTTTTGAAGAGTTCTATATCAACAAGAAATGTTTATTTAGACATCCACAGTATTGGACTATAAACCATCGGAAAAGAGTGCGATCTTGTGGGCTGTTGCCATTGGAACCATTGCGGGAACATTCCCAGTCAATTATTTCTACACGAAATATGGAGCTCGGTCAGTGATTTATTATAGTGCATGTAGATACATATTGGATTCTGAATGAATTCGAACTTAAGTATATCAAATTAGATCAAGATTAAGATATATTAATATAGTTAATAATCAGCAGTACATGAAAATTCTTGGAAATTTCGAAATATTAGGTTGCTACATAAGTCTTGTTACACTTAACTTCTTACGGCGATAAGTCAAGCACCTCACATTCTTTACAGGACTCCAGGGTGCCATTCGATACAGCAAAGCAAGCACAAGATATTGTGCAAAAGTTCGCATCAACTTCGGCCCACTATAAGTTTGCACCCAAAATCTGAGTCGTACTAAAGGCTCAAAAATCACGAAAAATTCATATCTTCGCTCAAAAAAATTCTACAAATCTCCAATTTGCTCATAAAAATTGCACACTATATCAGACACTCATATGTACCGTTGCTGTGTTTTTTCCTCATCTAGAAATCGAGAAAACGAAAACTTTCTTGTTTTCACAAAAACTAGGCTATGCTGTTTTTATTTATGTAGCTGTGTACTACAACCCCTTAAAAGTATAACCGCAAATTCTCAGCTTTCCAGAAGCGCTAGTTTTCGAAAATTACTAATTTAGCATTGAACACCCGAGCGAAAAAAGCTAAATTCGGTATTTTTTCGAAAACTAGCGCTTCTGGAAAGCTGAGAATTTACGGTTATACTTCTAAGGGGTTGTAGTATACAGCTACATAAATAAAAACATCATAGCTTAGTTTTTGTGAAAACAAGAAAATTTTCGTTTTCTCGATTTCTAGATGAGGAAAAAATACAGCAACGGTACATATGAGTGTCTGATATAGTGTGCTTTTTATGAGCAAATTGGAGATTTGTAACAATTTTTTGAGCGAAGATATGAATTTTTCGCGATTTTTTGAGCCTTCAGTACGACTGAGATTTTGGATGCAAACTAATAGTGGGTCGAGGTTGTTGCGAACTTCTGCACAATGTCTTGTAGAGCTTGCTTTGCTCTATCGAATGGTACGTGGAGCCCTGTAAAGAATGTGAGGTGCTTGACTTATCGCCGTAAGAAGTTAAGTGTAACAAGACTTATGTAACAACCTAATAGAATAGATCGATCAAACTTTAATTTGAGAGGTAAATCATCTGATAGATGCTGTATCTACTAGATTTGTTGAAATCTCTTACAACCAAGAATCTGAAAGAATTGACTCTCTTTGGTATGGAGAATGCAAAAAATCAATAATTGATTATCTGTTACCATACCAATGATTCATACTCGACTAGCTACCGTTCACTGCCTGATGCGAGCATATGCTGCGAAATTTATTGTTGATGCCAAAAATTGATAATTTTCACAAAGCAATAGCAGTTTGGCTGAATATGATCGTTTATATCAAAATCGACTTCAAGAATACAAAAAGCATTACCATCTAGCCATAACTTTCCAATAAATTCACAGATAACAAAGTACAGTTCTTAATTTCCATGAAAAAGGTGCTTCCTATTCTATTCATGGAAACGCTGTGGTATTTTGAAACGATAGAACATGGAAATTAAAGGTTGAACTTTTTTGTACTGACGTCATTCAAGTTATGATTTACTAAAATTCCTGCTCCTGAATTATTCGAATTGCTAGATTGATCATGATCTAAGCATCCTTTGGGTTTCTATACTCTTTTAGAGAATTCCTCTCTTCTCAAATATTTGTAACGTATTTTTCATGGATTACCACAACGTGTAGGAAAAAATAGTTTTGCTTGCTTCTTTCTTCTATATTGTTCACTGTCGCTTCTAAGAATACTTTTTTGCGATCGCAGTTCGTTCAGGCGATGTATTCCAAATCAATAATCAAGCAAATTATTTGAAATTATTGTCCAGTAAAATGGTGATGTATGACTCTTGAACCTTCGTTATGTCAGACACAATAAACTACATGTGCTGATCAAAAAACTATTTTTTGCTATTTAATCTATCTTGCAAGAAGTTTTTCTGATGTTGCATTTTGTTTATGGTAGACTATAGCATCACACTATCGCGAAACACTTCTTTTGCTCCGACACTGTTTTTCGAAAGGAAAAGATTGATGTGCTGATCACGCGAATCAAAATCTGGTATTTTATCTCTTGCAGTAAATCATGTTGTGTGACTAGTAGATGGATAGTCTAGTCAACGTCATTAATTTATGATAGCGAAACTTGTAGATTTTTGCTGGGATCCAAAAAATTGTCTAGGGAGAAGTTTCGAGATTCCCCTCGAACAAGCGTGCTCATACGAATTTTTTGTAGAGAGCTGGGGAAATGTGAAACCATTGCGAAAAGAGCTGTAAAGCTGTAAATCTCTCGGTAATGGAATAGTCAGGCAGCAAAGATAAAAGCGGCTTTACAAAGCGTTCTCAAGGGATGAAATTGATGAGAAATTTGAAAAAAGGGTGTCACTTTTTTTCAGCATTCAAGTCATCTATAAAAAAATGTTTCAGCGCTTTTTTGAGCTGTTTTGATGCGCAAAGGTGAATTTTTTTCGTCATCATGTTACCGACCTGTTTTTTATTGTTTACAGTCATCATAATGTCACCAATCATAATGATTATACCTATTACACGTTCAATAGAGTTGTGTGTCCTATTAGTAAACAATATATTGATTACGTGGCTTTAAATGGAAATGTTAAATGGGAAGTGCATCTCAAATGCAAATAACTGGATTGCTCATTAGGGCAGCAAATAAAGTCCAATTGCTCGTGAGATAGGCCGAGTCTTGTTTTGTAAAATAAAAATTGATTACGAGACAGCTTGAGAGCGCAGCAAAGTGGGGGGGGGGGGGGGTGAGCGGCCAGCTTTTTTTACTGAACATGACGAAATAATTTCCACCCATAGTTTTTGGAGACGCAAATTGCTGCGGTAATGTAATAACCGCAAATATACAAATTGTGTCTAGACCAACTAGTTTTTCCCGTTTTCTTCTAAGTTTGTTATTTCCCCCTTTTATAAATGTTCCCACATTCCACTAAAATATATATAGAGTAAAAAGTTGTCTAATTTCTTTTGCATATGGGTAGATTGATATCTGGGTTATTTTTCTGAATTTTCAAGGAATATGACTAGAATCATAACTGCTATGATAAAAATTCCTCATCACCGCTTCTTGATCTGCATTCTAAATGACGCATTTTCTACTACTGCTAATTAATACCTCTCTCCCTATCTTCTTCATGCAGAGCTTTTTACACTTGCTCATTACCAATATAAGCGCTATCCAGCCTTGAATTGTAAATGATTTAGAGAGCTTTTTATGCATGTGGGCGCCGATTTATGGCTGAGGGGCCATAGGCATTGCATCATGCTCGAAACTGAATGACGTAAGGACACAAAAAGCTATGTATTTTACGTCGGTTTCAAGCTTCAAGCTGCTGTGATCGTGAGTAGAATGGCAACGAGCTTAGTCATTGAGTAATGGGAGAGATGGGAGGTGGGTGGGATGACGCAGACAAGGCAATATATCTTTCGTCTTCGAAGCAGGAGGTAGTGATCGAATGTCTCGTAGGGTACACCTTAGGTTCCGTGATGTAAGTTGACGACAGAGTTCTGCATCAAATGTCTCCAAGAGTTCAGAAGAGTAAAGCAAAAACAACGTTTATCTCCCATGGATGGAAAAATGTAGACAATATATTTGGAATTTGTGCATCTGCACAACGTGCGCTTTAACTCACGACGCATTGAAAATTTTTCAGTAAAACCCCTCCTGGAAGAAAGTGGTATGCACTTATACTTTTTTGACGAAGCAAAAAAAGGAATTGAAGACCTTCTAAAATTGGCAGCTTCTACATACAAGTCGTGAGTTACCGCGCGTGGTGTGCATTACACACAACAAATCACCGAGTGAATTTACCTGTTTGGAGTCAAATGCTCTCTTAACTGCTGTCAAAATGGATAAACTATAACAACTTAAATATTTTCAAATGTGTGTCGAAGTTTTAACACAATTCTTTTCAAAGCAAGCTAATCAATCAAATAATGCAATTACTATTAAGGGATTGTTTTGATGCAATTTCACGCTTACTTCCATTCTTAAACGGCAGCAACTCTAAATTCACCTATATGATACGATCTTCCAGCGGTGCACTTACGGTTTTCTTTACTCTCTAAGACCTTAGACCTTGATGGATGTGAACCTAAGTGCAATGGTGCCATAGATCAATCGCACATGGCTGAGCTGTTTGAACATCGGATGTGACGTGTTCGTTGTTTTCCGAGGGTTCGTCTGCAATCTCTGGTTTTTCACTTAGTGCTTAATTTGTTGTGATGGACTTCCTGGACCAGACGACACGACACATGAAGGTAGAATGTGGGGGTTAAAAACTTGATTGGTGTTGAGCTAGAGAAAGAGCCCGAGGCCAAGTTTGGTTGATCTTGGTCACCTTTTACAGATTGCAATGAGTGATCTAAAATTGCTTTCAATAAACCTTCCAGTCAAAAGGTCAAGATATCATCAACAGTTTACTGATATTTTTGTACTGATTGCACATCTTGTGGGCAGATGGCTTTGTGTTCGATCTCTGGGAAGATGACATTAGACATGATACCGAAATATACAGGGTGTCCCAAAAGTATGTATCGAACGTTTGATCGTTAATAACTCTCTTCCCAAGAAGTCTTTTGCCTTGCTTTAGGTACCGTTTTGTAGAGCTGGCTTCAACTTAGATTTGCACTATAGAAAGAATCATTCATCTCTCTTCATTACTGTAGGATTACGGTAGAAACTTGAAACATATGGTGTTAATGTGAAAAAAGCTGCCGTTTCAAAATTTCTCAAAAAATCGTGAAAACTTGTGTAATAGGGTTTTTATGGACGCTGAGTTCAATAATTAACTATTCACAAGATTATGAAAAAATGGCCGCTACTTCTTACCTGGCATAACTCTTCAATGAAGCATCATAATAAGTTGGGAACTTTACAGTTATAATCAGCAACTCTAATTAGCCTAGTGTAAAAGTTTTAAGGCTGTTTTGTTTCCTTTCTGGCGCAAAATATGGCCTTTCATTGCTTAAAACCCTCCTTGAAGTTTCTACCGTAATCCTACAGTAACGAAGAGAAATGAGTGATTCGTTCTATACTGCAAATCTAAGTTGAAGCCAGCTCTACAAAACGGTACCTGAAGCAAGGCAAAAGACTTCTTGGGAAGAGAGTTATTAACGATCAAACGTTCGATACATACTTTTGGGACACCCTGTATTTACAGAAAACTTAACCGAAATCCAAAAATGAATGCTGATAAGGATTCTCAAGTTCTATTCCCTTTGACACAAAATAAAGCGCAAATGATCCAGGAAGAGACGACTAGAATTTTTGGCCATACAAGCTCCACAAAAACTTATTTCAAACATGAAATATGTCAAGCTGAGAACATATCTCTTTTGTACTTATCGTGTTATCGTACTCTGTTCTCTTTTTTACCGAAGAGTTTGATTAACATTTGATCTTTTCTTTTCGTAAAAGAAAGTATATTATGCTATTTGAACGTTCCAGGAAATGGAAAAGGCATTCAAATACAATTTATGTTAATTAGAGTCTATTTCTGTCACTTTTGTTGAAATGAGCCTTTGCAAAACATGAAACTAATTTCATTTCCTGAATACTAATTTAACAGTGAGAAGTGGTATTGCTCTGCAGCTATCATCTGCATATTTTTCACTAATTTCCATTTTTTCAATCCATCAGAGGATTTCTGAACCTTTATATGAGTGAGATTAAGCACCAGGTACGCAGCTGAAATACTCCTAACTTTGTTGTCTTTTCTGAGTTTTTATTTATAAAAATTTGTTTCTAACATATGCAAACTTTTTGATTTCCAGATGTTCCACTCTATGAATAGGTGAAATTTGAAATCAATCAAACCCCACGCTCCATATGTTGCTTACCACGCGGAAATAGATAGCTTCGTCCAAAAAAATACTAGTCGGAGCGCCACTCAGATTACAACTTTGCGGCAGACTTCACTGAACAACCAAAGTCGATAGAAAAAGAAACCTATTCTGTAATTATGTAGTCACTTTGGAAAATTTGATGTTGCGATGTATCACAGCAAATTTGAATGAATTTTGTATCAGACTGAACGGAACTTCCGCAGCACTTTTGTAGCACCACCCGCGTCCTCTGCAAAAACGCTGCGGAAGTCCCGTGGAAGTTTCGGTTTTCGATTGATCAGACGTCATTCTTGCAAAATCTCGAATTCTGGAGCGTGCACTTCTTCAATGATGAAAGAAGTGCACTGCAACCGCTGCAAATTCTGCTTGTTCTGCGGAAGTTCCGGTCAATTGTCAGAGCTTTGAATCAGAGATTTGAGAATGCTTCGGCTGTTATAGTGTGTTGCACATATGTTTCTGGTTTTTGACTCGGAGCTTTCACATATCCAAGCCGATCAATCAATAAATCTCAAGCAGCAGAATACAAATTAATGTGTCTTTCGCAGAACCTTTTTGTTTCATTTTTTCCACGACTGTGCTCATGATCTCTGTTTCAGATGGCCGTTCTTCATAGCCGGAATGATGTCGGCGATATCGACAGCATTGATGCCGCTGGCGGCGTTCTATCATCTTTATTTATTGCTGTTTCTTCGATTAGTACAGGTAATACTGCTTATACTAGATTAGACCCCCCCCCCCCGCGACTCGCGCACGGTTATCACTCACATATCTAGTCCCGTGATGAAATCACTCATTTTCCCGAAGCTAGGTTTTTGCTGACATTGCTAAAGTAGTCTTCTAGCTCATCGAAATGATGGAGTGGAAGTACATGATGAAAGCAATACACTAAAATTGATATATCCTGGTAATTTGATGCCGAAATAAAGAAGTGCAGGTTTTCGCTGACAAATTGCATGTGAAACTGATAGCTAGAGCTTTTTGAATGTGCACTGTTCTGACGGAAGGCGGGGAGGGGGGAAAACATTTCAGCTTTTGTCATCACCTATATTTCAAATAAAGAGTTTTTTGGCCCTTTAGATTCTCGATGTTTTTCTCTCCTTACGATGCAGTTGTACTTCTGTCTCCAATACTTCAGCTAGTAGAGCGCCACTCAAAATGTGAAAAAAACTTGAGGGTGAGGGAAGAGTTAAGTTCCATGAAAGTTAGGCTTTAAATGTACATACTTCTTCGTCTAAGGGTTTTCTGTGGGAAAAACAGTTTTTTTTTGGAAAAACAACCTCATCAGACAATCATAATTTATGCAAAAATCTTGGAAAATCTGATATGATCTTGAAATTGCAAGAGAATCAGCTATAGAGAAAAAATGGATTTTTACTGTAAATGCTTAGGCTTTTTTAATGGTGAATTTAAGTGTTCTGGAAATGTTGGGTCAAATTTTTTTCATTTTAGCTGTTCTAGTAAAGATGCTACAGATGGAACACTATGCTAGATTACCGCATAAAATTTTTTGTAATTGTTTTGGTCCCAAAATAAACCTTATCGGCTATCTTCAATTTAATGAGTTGCATGCTTACAACGAAATTATCTACCAGCCCTACAAGTTTACTGTTCCTACCTTAGAAGTCTCGAAGCATTTTCTAGAATTAAAGGAAATTGGTTTTAGATTGAATGTATCTCAATTTTACGCATGGATTTGCAATTTCATTCATTTTAATTTATTTTTTGCGCTCAAAACGTGCTGTAAACAGGTCAAAAGTTGATAGCATAAGAGTGAATGTGTCTTGATTCGAGCGGCGAAAAGAAAATAGAATATACGAATAAATAAATGAAATGAACTAAAAGTGAAATATGTTCAGGGTCTCGCGTATGCAGCGAACTTCGGCGCGATTGGAACACTTTGTGTCCGTTGGGCTCCACTTGCTGAAGTCAGTATATTTATTAGTGTCTTAACTAGTTTTACTCCAGTATCAGCTGTCGTCACGAACCCTCTCTCTGGCTGGGTAAGTTTACCATCCACACTTTATTTACCTTGAAAAAAAACAACCTTTTAGCTCTGCAACACAAGGATGGGGTGGCCGGGGGCTTACTACACTCATGCCGCCTTCTGCTTCATAGTATTTATATTGTGGATTGCTTTATACAAAGACGATCCACAAAATCATCCAAGTGTCAGTGAAAAAGAATTGGCAAAAATTCATAAGGATAAAACTCGTGCGCATATTGAACGTGACAGTTTTGTACCATATAGGGTAAGTACCATATAATTTTTCTAGAATTTTTTGTTGTAATGTGAATTGTCATATTTTAGCAACTTCTCTCAAACAAAGTGATTTGGATTGTTTGGTTCAATGCATTTGTTGAAATGGTGGCCGTAACTTTGCTGTTGACCTATGCACCGTTATATTTTCACAAAATTTTGGGATACGATATTGGACTCACAGGTATGAAAATGCTGTTAGTCAGAATATGTCATTTTATTCTACATATCTTTTTTTCTTTGGCTGCTAACCTTTGATTCAGCTGGCTTGGCGGCTGGAAGGCGGGGTTTTGTAATCTAATTGAGGCCACTCACGCCCGCTATGCAGTTTGCGTCTCTCTCGCGCGCGCTCTCTGATCATTATCTAGCCTTAATTACGTCGCGAAGCCCCACCTTCCAGCAGCCAAGCCAGTTTAATCAAAGGGTATTTTCCAACTTTTACATTTCGCAGTTACTTCTAGTGGCAGTTTCAAAATTTTTGGGGGCGCGGGCGAAAACTGATGTTTTGCTATAATTTCACTTCCCCAAAAAATTCTTGCAAACTGATTTGATCAGACTTTGAAGATTTTCAATGATTTGCATGAAAAGTGAATAACTTGCGCAATTGTATGACCCATGCCGAATATTTTCAAAGTTTTGCGACCTTCTTTGTTGAGGGGGGGGGGGGGCACTGCTCACGCTATATATCACTTTTGATTCAACTGGCTTGGCGGCTGGAAGGCGGGGCTCCGTTACCTAATTGAGGCTAGGTAATAAACAGAGAGCACGCGTGAGGGAGAAACGCAGACTGAGTAACGGGCGCGAGCGGCCTTATCTAGGTCACAAAGCCCTGCCTTCCAGACGCCAAGCCAGTTGAACCAAAGGCTAGTACCCTCCACTGGGTTCTCATTCATTGCTGAGTTGTTTTTGAGATATTCCCAGAGTGATGAATAAACATTTTTTATCCTCAATTCTGTTTTTCCCTTATCCCTTATTTCTCTTGGTGTTTTTCTCTTATCTCTCTTATGTTGCTCTCAATGAGGTCCTCATTTTTTAGGAACCCTCGTTTCACTCTCTTCCATCATTCATCTTCCCATCAAATTCGTAGGTGGAATAATCAGTGACCGATTGACGTAGGTTTCCCATCTCCTTACCGTGATGCCACGTTTGACCATTTTCTTTCTCAGAAGCGTCTCCGAAAAGCACAGAATGTGGTTTTTCAATACGATGGCCGTAGGATTGGCAGGAGTTTGCACTGCACTGGTCGGAATCTTCCCGGCCAGTTGGCCGGCAATGGGTGTCGCAATGTTCGCATCTGTTATAACGCTTATGGGCCTAAATACTGGCGGCTTCTACAAGTGCGGGACGTTATCTGCAAGGTGAGGATCTGTTTTTTGTATTTCAAGAGTTCGCAAAGGAAAGAAGGAGCCGGTTTTATCGAAGGCGGCATCCCCCAAATCTTTGTCTTCCATGTTTTTGTCCTTCTGTGGCCTTGTGGCCCTTATTACAGACATAGAAAGCAAAATGTACAGAATCCCCAAGAAACCCGGTTTCCGGGAGCCACATTTTGAAGGCACAGACAACTTTTAGTACCCGGGTGGGCGGAGCTTGATAAGGGGAGGTGGGGGGGGGGGGAGGGGAGGGGGAGGGGACTTGAGTCGTAAGTTGGCATTGGCTTGGCATTCATAAGTTCCATATCCGTTTTTCCATTTAGAATTCACATTAGTCCGGTCCGCACCAACGCAGATTTTAGGGCATTCTTGTAGATCAAGCACTGATCGGGGAAGCCCCCAAATTTTCCGTGGATGCTGTTTTTGGGGAAAAAAGCAAGAAGGCGATTATTTGTGTAGGAAAGATTATCAGATAACGAATCGGATATAAATGAGTGCAAAAAATAGCGCGTTTTGTACAGAAAGGAGATGACTTCATTTTCTGCATATTCTCGAAGACAACATCTTTGAAGAAGTAATATGTAAAATTTCATACGTATAAACCTTGCAAAGAAGTTCTCATACAGCACACACATGTCATGTATATCTTTACTACAAAACGTATTTGTCAAAGGATTTCAAACTTTAAATTATTGGTAAAAAATGGCCGCTTCTGAAGGTGAGCATTCTTGGTGCAATCGTAAGGGAAAATTTCAGTTACGGAGTTGAGATTTAAGGGGTAAAAAACTCTAACACTTTCACTGAATTGAGGCTAAGCAATGAGGATAAAGTGTTTGAGGGGTTCTGAAACGAGATGATAATTTCGAAGCTTTGAGCAATCTTTTTTCTACAAAATGGTGTGGCACTCTGTTAATTCAGAATCACATTTCCTACTATACTTTTTTGTTATTTTAGACGCAATAGAAAGCAAACACGATGAATTTCGCAAAAAAACTTCTCGATTTTTCCCTTTATTCATTTTCAAGTGAAAAAATTAATTTTCGCAAAAAAAGCCATTTCACATCATTGCTTTTCAGGCAATACGCCCATGTTGTGCTTACTGTTATACAGTTCATGAAGTGTGTAGCACTGTTTGTGGCACCAGCAACTGTTGCGATGTTCGTTAGCAAAGAAGACGAATACGATCAATGGCGTTATGTATACTGGCTTCATGGATTTTTCCTTGTATTAGTAAGTTTTTATTGTTTTATTCTAGAAATTCTCTCAGTGTTCCAAAGTCTGGCATAGTTTAGCATTTGAATTACATTCTTGGAAATAATGTTAATTCCCTCCTACATTCCCTCCTACATCACTAATTTACTGAGTTGAACTCTACATTGTTTTATGCATTTTTTGACCTTCTTGGAGATAGGAGTCTCTCCATATGTTTCCCATATTACATTCACGACAGTACGACCCACAGATGGGTCGTACGTGTCCTGCCGTTTTGGACGATACGACCCACTGGTGGGCCGTATCGTCCAAAACGGTTTATGATTGTTGAAGTTTATGATTTAGCTAGTTTAGATGAAATTTTTTGGGCAAATAGTAATTTTTTGTATACATTTGGAAGACTCTTGGAAGACTTCCCAAAAGGTCCAGACCACAGGAAGCGGCCAGAAAATATTACACAAACTCAATATTGCGAAATATGATCCAAAATGGCAGTCATTTGAAGAAATAGTCTTCTTAATTTGTTGGATGTAACTTCAGTAACTATGTTTACGTTTTCAGGCAAATTGCATGTTCTACCCTATAGCTACTGATAAACCGGCCTCATTTACAAAGATAACAAGAGCTGGAAAAGAAGATGAAGAAGCAGCAGAAAAGCTACAGAACGGAAATGTAAGATACTCAACTTCTAACTGCAAAATTCAGAGCTGATAATCTGAGATTTTTAGGTGGAAGGCATGGAACTCAATGATGCTTCCTAATACCTAATTCAACTAGCAATCATCTTGAGAAGACCTCCTTGTTACTTATCAAATTTTGATAGTACAGCTATTGTTACTAGATAGTGCAGTATTGTGTTTGTGATGTTTATTTATAGTTGTTTAGGAGTCGTGCTCTATTATAAAATTGTTGAAAATGTGTACGTGACGAGGTCTTTCTGTGTGATTGTGACTCAAGTATTGTTTCGATGAGCTTACGACAATGAATTGCATCGATCTCTTCTTAAAAATTGAAAAAAAAACATACAAATCTATTGAGATGGTACGATCACAGCATCGAATTTGACGAGAAGATGAAAAGATGGCACAAAAGTCTGATAAATTGACAATCAAATGTATGGCACTGAAATTTCGTACTGAGCCTATAGCTTGATAGATATGGCGGCAAACATAGCGCCTCCAGTGCCAACAATTCCCGACAACATTTGCGCGTTAGCAAATTGCTGCGAACTGATGCTGGCCGTTTACGCGCACAAAGCGGCTGCAAAACACTTATCTTCGGTTTCACGTTCTTCTCATGCCACTAACCCGAAATCGGCGACTTTTTGACAATCCACATAACCATGGAGAGAAATGAGGTTGCTTACCGTATTTCAAACTCTGCTGATGTGGTGAAAACGGCACGATTTGACGAATGCCATTAAAAAGGAGCTTTACGAAACGTAGCTCATAATAAACGGAATGTATTGTTTGCAAGGAGAAACGCAGGAAATTGGGCAGCGTTTTTGTATACAAACACTGTGGAGAGAACCAAATTACGAAAAATTGCAAGGAACTTCTTGTCCTCGATTAGCTGAATGATGAGTAAAGATGAGGGAAGTTACGATTCAACAAGTTGCGGTGATCTGAGAAACCTCCTTTATAAGCGCCTTTGACTGCGCAGATACAAAGTAGGAATTGCAAAATAAAGATTTTTAGGTCACATATAAACTTAAAGGCTACGGCAGGACGAAAACGCAGAAGCGCTGTTAACTGAACGGGCGCGAACAAGGCGCGCACGTATTCTCACTGTTGTAAATCCTGCGTCTCATGCGCTCTGCGGCTAATAGAACCGCGTTCGCGCTTAAAGATATAGCGCCTTCGTCAGCAGCCTATAGCTGCAACCGACTTCTAAGCTGACTAACGTGGGCAGGACTTATATACAGACCATTCAACTCAACTGGCCTGGCAGCTGGAAGGCGGGGCTTCGTGACCTAATTAAGGCTAGATAATGATCAGAGAACATGCGTGCGGGAGAGGAGCAGACTGCGTCGCCTTAACTAGGTCAGAAAGCCCCGCCCTCTAGCCGCCAAGCCAGTTGAATCAAAGGTTATGTGATGAGTGCAAATCTGTCTTACAAGGGAAGGATGTTTGGTTGAAGTGGCCTTTCATGATAAATTGCACGCCATCTAGGAGGGGATGGGGGCATAAAATGCTTATTTCGAATCTGCCCTCCTTATTTGCGAAGCATTCCTGACCACGACGTTATGAGGGTATTTCGGAGCAAAAATTGATTGCTCGATCACAATGGATTCGGCAATAACATTTTTTAACGCGTATTTGGAGCAGCGTGAATAAGCTCGACATCCTATGCAATAAATGCTCTGAGCCTGAACATAAATTCGCTCATTGCCGTCCCATTTGGGCTAAAAAAATTCCAACAACTAACTCTCCTCAGGTTGCGCATCAATTTTTTTTTTGCTCCGAAAAACCCTCATAACTTCGCGACCAGAAATGCTCGGCAGTTAAGGAAGGGAGATTTTGAATCAGCATTTTTGGCTCGGCAAAACTGAGCCTCGAAAAATTGATGGTAGATTGCTTACACCATAAATATGAAAGCAGACCAAGTCCAAGCGCACAGCATGGTGCACCCGGCAAGATAGCTACCCCAAACCCTTGCGCAAGCCATTCTTACACGCGCGCGAAACTGGCGAGCTTACTATGAACTTGATATGCTTCAAACAATTTTACTCAACGACATCTGGCACAGTGTGCGCCGCCTTCACGAGTGCCGATCTTAAAGATCGTCTAAGCAGCTCGACTTCAATGTCTTTGCCTTATTCAGGCCTTTTCATGGCGTTAATTCCAGATATTGCTCTCAAAATGCTGATTCCTCAAAAACACCCGTTTTTGAGAAAATTTTGTGAGAAGCGTGGACGAGTGCTTCTAACGCAATTCTTGTCTAAACAGGCATTAACAGGTAGACACTATGTGTTCCGTTGTGTTTGCCACGTGAAAACACATCAAGGGCTGAGGAGAATTCGCCCAAGGGGCAAGCCGTGCGAGGGAATGAGCGTGGTCCTCGAGATGGCGTTTTCTGTGCCGATTTTCTCCTTTTATAGGGGGTGTACAAAATTCGGACTTGTGCGATAGTTCTAGATCGAGGCATTGGTACTCATTTGTGACAGCATCCTATAATCTCCAAATCTGCCTGGATGCTGCCTCTAACATGGAATGCACTAGCATGTGCAAAAGGTCATTGGTCCGTAAAAGCTGCGCCTAATTGAGGTATACCTCTTTCTACCCCGTCGAATCCCTCCCCCCCCCCCCCTCCTCTCCCTCTAAAGCGAATCATCAGGTCCGTTTGAAAAATGCAGCCTCTAAAGCCTTAAAAACAGCCTCTCCCCTAACCCTTCCTGCTCTTCAGACTCAGGCTGTGTTTTTCCCGCGCGTGTGCTCTCCTATCATTATCTACCCTTAAAGGCAGCGTCCAGGCAAGATCCATCCACCCAGATTAGCACATAGGTGTAAAGAAGGGCCCATGAGTACCCGATCTGCGTTGGTCCAATCCTTTGACGTGCCCTTTAAAAGGAAATACGGGCATGTGATACGTATCGCAAGCCGCCCCTTCGTATCACATACCACCCCTGAGGATGAGTGCTTACGCAGGTGTGCGGTTGCATTGCAGTTGCATTGCAGTTGCACTGCACACTGCAATGCAACTGCATCCGTGCAGTTGCAGCTTCTCCCGCTGGGATGACGATGGGGACGAGCAATTCGAAACTCGTCCGCTCCTTGAAGAAAGGGTCCCCAAGAACCGGGTTTTTGGGAGTTTTAAACAATTTGGACTTTACAACTGTAATCAGGGCCACGGAAAGGTCCCAGAATGGCAGAAACCTGAGAGGCGAAATTTTGCCCGGACGCTGTCTTTAAAGGCAGTGTCCAAGTGTGCTTACCTGGGCCTATTCGCTATGCTGAATCCAAAAATCACCACTGGAGAGCGCGAAAACGGCGAAAAAGGCCTCTAACGTAGGAGGGAAATTGCAGGTGGGCGGGGCTGTTCACACAGTGGCGTCACTTTCCCAGCTTCAGGGGCGATCTTCTCGCTTCCGCGAACCGCATTAACACCACCATTACCCAGCTGCAAACGCATGGCAAAAATTGGAACCGAGAAGATCGCTCTTACAGCCTGGGAGAGAGACGTCGTGGTGTGAATGGCCCCGCCCACCTGCGATTTCCCTCCTCCGTTAGAGCCTTGCCGTTTTTGCGCTTTCCAGTGTTGATTTTCGGATTCAGCAAGCGAATAGGCCAGGTAAGCACGAAATCTCAAAATCGACTTTTTGCTTGGACACTGCCTTTAATTAGGTCACGAAGCCCCGCCTTCCAGCCGCCAGACCAGCTGAGAAGGATGGTTCCCAAGGAGGTTGATTGATTCACACCGGTGAAAATTAGCCTTGCTTTCATGCTGCATACAGATTTGTCCATGTGTCTGCATTGTGATTGATTTCGCCGGCACAATTTAGGCATTAAGTTAGCACATCATTGGAACTCAACATGGGCAACTCTGGACTTACCCTCACATAACAAAGCGAGAAATGATTTTGCATTACGAAGATGATCTTTATCAAATCGCTTGAGTGTATCAATTCTAGATATTAGATAGCTGACGACTAATAGGGATAGTTCATTCTATTTCATACGACCACTTCTGCGGTATTCCTGAACATCTTTGTTCACCAACGCAACGATCTCAACGCTTCTGATCAGATATGGGAGACGTGGGAGACTATGACTATTTCAACCCTGGAGGGGGTGCTGTCTTACCTCCACCACCACCACCTCCTCCTCCTGCTGCTCCTTTTGGGTACCCTCCTCCTGATTTCCCTCCGCCATTTCCAGCGCCCGCTCCGGAACTACCCCCGCCACCACCACCACTTCCCTATGGTGGAAGTTTTGATTCGCCGCAACCGCCCGTAGATGGCAATGGGTGAGTGACCTTCAAATTTGTTTTTTTCTAAATTATCCATTTTTAGCCATCGTCCAAACATGGGCTCTTTTGAAAGCAAAGGTAGGAATGGACGAGTTAAACATTATCGAAACAGTGGTTCTTTCTAAGGCAACAAAAAAACCAAGACACGTGGAAGAACTAGTACTACAACTACAAGTGGTCATAGTAAAAGGAAAGTAGTGAAGGTGAATATCTGTAGGCAACAACATCATCAATATTACTTTTTTCAGAAAACTTTCAAGATTGCTTTTTTCATTATTTTGGTGTTATGGCTTTTGTGTGCTGGTTGGACGTTCACTTTGTTGGGTGGCTTTGCCGGATGGTTTGACATAGAGAAGACTTTCAGAAATTCCTTCCTCGATAAATTGTTGCCACAATGGTGGCAGTAGCTATGTATTATAGGATAGAAAAACTATGTTACAGCGAACATTATGCAAATAAATTAATAAAAATTTTACAAGGTGTGAATCTCTAGAGAAAACATTAATATTGCTGTCCGTTTGTGGTATATTTCGATATGTATCAAGATTGGCAGCTTGTGGTGGAAAAAATAAATTGGCATATTGTACCAGCATGCGCGTTGACAAGGCGTGCATTCGTGAGTGGATAAGATTGAAATTTGCAACTCAAAAAAGGGAGTGTAGTTGCCTTTGTAGGCTTAAAAGTAGATCACTCATTATCAGAATAGAGGAATCGAGATTGTCACACATGTTCCTTGTAGGCAATGTCTCACCAAAAGTGAAGTAGTCTAGTCTACCCAGATCTTGTTAGAGCACCTAAATAGGCGCTGCCAAATCCAACCAATTCAGCCACCTCTGTGAGAAATTTTTTCCAGAATACGCACTGTGGATTGAGAACTAAGAAGAGAATCCGAGACAGCTTCATTCAAAGAAATCTCTTGCCCTCGTCTAAGGGCCGCATGCATTAAAGGCAGCGGCTCGGCAGATTCTCAACTTGAAGTATTTTGCTTCATGGGGTAATTCGAGGCGCTGACTCCAAAAATCTACCTTTGAGCGCGAATTGGCAAATACCACCATTTCCAAGGTCTCCCATTTTGAATTTGGACGAATGAAGCCTGTTCCGCTATGGTTAGAGAGGCAGGATCGTCAGGACCTTCGCAGTTATAACCAGGGTTGAGCGTGGGGTCAGGCGCGCCCGACCTGGGGGGTCGTACTGGGGTAAGACAGAGGGGGGGGGTTGTGATTAGGAATCGAATTCGTTCGATTGAGGAGATACTACGATTAAGGTGAAGAAGAAAAGCGCTAGTTTAGTGGATATCGCGACCTCACCAGTACTGAAGGAATGAACGGTCTTAAACAGCATACTGATTGTTTTCACAATCGAAGTTTAGGCCAAAACTTAAATCTTCATCTTCTACCTTGACATATTATAAATTCATCAAGGAAGCTTGCTGTGTGAAATGGGTATCATTTCCGAGCACGTCAAATTACCTCTATGAGCCCTGCAAACCATTATTTACTGCGTTATCTAGTGTTTCTCAACGACTAAAAAGCGTGATTTTCAAACATGATTAACTTGTTTTCAAAAGTGAGAAAAATCAATTTTTTTGTACTCATAACAAAGTGTTGTTCCCCACTAGTCTAGGCTAAAAATCGCGCTTTGTATCGCTTGCAAATAGTGGAGTAAGAAATAATGCCAAAATTCCAACCGGCGTGTTTTTCGCCATGACTGCTTTAACTCCACGGATTACCACAAGGCCGAAACGAGTCGAATCAAGTCCAAACACTTACTGTGAAATCTTCGAGGGTTGTGCTAGCGATTCACATAAAACTTGAATAAAAAAGCTTCTTCAATGATAAAGTTAATCGGGTCAGGCGCAACCCCACAAAAGGTCAGGCCGCCTGAGCTTTTGAGGGGTTGCGCCTGACCCGATTAACTTGTTTTCAAAATCTAAAAATCGCCCCATTTCTGCTACGAATATTGAACTCAAAGCCTCTTCTTGCGATACTGCGAATTTGGAGCCAAACAATACACCCCTGTGAAAATTATAGCTCTAAAAGTAGGGCTATCCAAAATCCAAAACTTGCCGTCAAGTTGCGTGTGCTGTGCGATCGCAGAAAGTCGACTTTCAGACCTCCAAAAAACAAGAACTTTCCAAAAACGGCTGATCTCTTCGAATTATCACAGCCTGAGGTCCTGGAGGTGAAGCAGAGGGGTCGTTTAGGGGCTTTCACTGGGGGGAGGGGGGTCGTTTTGGAAAGACTTGTGCCTGACCTCTTGCTCAACCCTGGTTATAACATCTCTGACATTCGGTGCGGGCGGCGCGCGCGCTCCCCGTGCGGCGTCTTGTAGTGCGCGTGGGCCGAACGGTGAATGTGCGCGAGCCGAACGGTGAATGCGCGCGGGCCGCACGGTATCGAAAGCGCTCCGTCCGCAAGCTACTAGAGAATAGTCTTTCATAGATATTCTTTTTCTTCTTTCGTCGTGCCGTGAGCATTCTCAACTTCACACTCCAAAAAAATTCCAAATTCAAAGAATTCGAAAATTTGAATTTGAATTCATAGAATTCAAAAATTCAAATTTAGTACCCATTCGGGACGCTGTCGAGCGATAACCTCCGTAGAAGCAAAAACCTCGTTATGTTCCTGCGATTACTCAAATGCCAAGAAATGATGCCTAAGTCAGCTCCACAAGTGATAGAGCAGCTTAATCATAGCGTCGTACCTCACGCGGGTACCCATTACGCTTATAGCGTGTGAGAATTGGAGGCGCGCGGGCGGCACGGGGAGAATACTTGCGCGCGGGCCGTACGCTAAGGATACAAGGCGCGCGGGCCGCACGTACATGACCCCTCCCGTAAATCTAGGCGCGCGGGCCGCACTGCTGGCCATTAACAAGCACGCGCCGCACGCACCAAATGTCAGAGATTGCGGCATGCCTTCTCTGACGGGTCAGAGAGAATCGCAAGCTCGTCCGCGCGTATTGGAATGGCCTGCGCATAAAGGGCCGGGTATACTTCACGCGATTTCAGTTGCGACGCGACTTGGCAATATTCCAGCTGTTCATAACTCACTGTAAGCACAATTTAATTGTACAGAAGGTAGGGCATCTTATCAATCCACGTAAGTTATAAACATTATGCATGTGCAGCTGGCTATTGTTGAATCTGAAGACTTCTGGCAAACTGCCAAATCGCGTCGCGACTAAAATCGCGTTGGCCCTTGACGGGTTTAGGGTCAGTTTTCTAAGCAAAGGCAGCATGCTGTGCGCTCGGATCTGCTCCGTTCTCATGTTTGGGGTGCAAGCAACCTTCTATGTCAAAATTTCGGGATGTTCGGTTTTGGCGAGCTGCTGCCTTTAAAGACAGCGTCCAGGCAAATCTGGGCATATGGGTTTTTTGCCTGGAAACTGTCGAGGAGGCTCTCGCTAAGGCACTGCCCGAACCGCAGCGCAAATAATTCATTCACGGTTGAGAAATCCATCCACAAACACCCCGCTACCGCCGTGAACGTAACGCTTAGGATTGGTTCCAGCGCGAACGTAGTGTCAAAGTGATCGAAGTCGTTTTTTACGGTCACGGCGCAGGCGCGGGGTTTTCGGGGACGGATTTCTCAGCCGTGATTGAACAATTTGCGCTGCCCATTGGACAGTGCCTTACTTAGGACCCCCTCACCAACTTGCATGCGGAAGAGCCATGCGACCAAACTTGCCTAGACACTGCCTTTAATATCCGCGCGAGGGAGGGGATCGTACTTTTAAAGAAAGCTTCATATCATAAGGCTTTAGATTCTGGACTTCACGCTGCCTCCTCCGTTAGAGTTCCCACTATCCTTAGAAGCATATTGAACACGAGCTAGAAGTTGTACGTTGCATTTTGCAGCTTTTTGTGTGATCCCCGGCGATCCCCGACGATCGAGCGTTTTTTCTTCGAGGTCATTTTTCTTTTTTCAAAGTTGATGATAACATTCAAAAGCTGTACTGATTATCTAAACTACAATGCTAAGCTTGTTTCTGATGAGACAAATGAGCTTTTGAAATATCGAAATTTTCGACAGCCCACTTTCGACTTGTGGTTCATCATAAATTCATGATTCCAAAACTTCATTTGTTCTTATCAACAACATGCTTAGTAGGAAATGGTCAAAAGCTGTATGTCATCGAACTCGCCTTGAAACCCCATTTCAAATTTACGTTTACTATCTGCCAAGCTACTATCTGGATGGAGTTATTTGCGCTCAAATACGAGAAATTATTCAAGTTCCAACGAGTAGTTCGTTGGGAGGCAGACTGATGGCGCCGACTTACAATGGTAGTGGGTATTCTTGTTACAAAGGAAAAGCACATTTGCCAAAAACCTAGGTACGTGTTTCTAATATGTATTTCGTGGAACAGGGTCACAGAATATTTGACAAATCGCACATTCAGACGTCCATAACTCCATCCAGATAGTCGCTTGACAGATGAGAAACAAATGCTTAAAATCAGCGTTTCTAGGAGAGTCCGATGACATACAGATTGTTTGGTATGGCTGGGTTAATCTCTGACCATTTCCGGCTTAGCACTGTTGGATGCAACTCTCGAATATTCTCATCAACTCTCAAGGAAGAAAATCGACACTGAAGAAAAGGCGGTCGGTTGCTGGGATTATTAAGGGATCATTTAAAAAAAGCTGCATAATGCGTGTAACATTTACTGCGCGACTTATCTTAACATTTCGCGTGCAGTAAACTTTTCTTCCCTTCCATTTGCTTGTGGCAAAAATTGGCGCAGGGGTTCCGTAGTATTCCCCCCCCCAAAGTCGTCACAACGTAAAAAAGGCGCGACCATGATCGCCTGAAAGATATCACAGATTGGGGCACAACGGTGCGTTAGTCTCCGCAAGAGTTACGCGCTTGCCCGACCCCAACCCGCAATAAACGACGTGAGCAGGACACGCGGCCACTGCACCACAAACAGTGTTTCTGTGGAAAGTCTCAGTTTGCAGCGTCGGCAAAAAAGAGCTTTGTAGGTGCTCGCTCAAATACAAAACACCTATGTAGGGCTTTTCTGCGATTGCCGCCAAGTATTATTTGAACGCTGCGTATACTGATTCGAGGTACTCACAGTGACAAAGCTTCTTGAATTACTAAGTGACTGCCACTTGTAAGGAATTGTCACTTGATAACATTCTCAAAATGAAAGAAGTTCGCATATGAACGGCACTTCGGAAGCAAGACCGGTTAACATAAAAGGCCGCATGGATGGTTTGCTTCGTTGAAAAAGAAAGATGTCTCATTCATCGGATGGGTATCCAGTTCTGAGGTCGACCAGCGGATCCACATATTTCATTTTCCTCCGCCATCTAAACGCCATCCAGCTAGTGGATTTTAGCAAAGCAAATGGCAGGTACCTATGTTTGAATTTGAAACGATATTCCAAATTCGAATGGGGAGCATATTTTGATGTAATAGGTTTATAGGTGCTACACTAATGATGGGCTTAAAGGCAGTGTCCAGGCAAATCTAGTTGCATGGCTCTTTCGCCTGGAAATTGATGAGGGGTCCTAAGGGTTGGGTCAGGCTGCGCGGCGTACGCGGCGTACGTCACGTACGTCCGTACGACGCGTACTCTGGCTCAATCCTAACTAAGGCACTGCACAAGGGGCAGCGCGAATTGTTCAATCACGGCTGAGAAATCCGTCCCCGAAAACCCCGCCCCTGCGCCGTGACCGTAACCCAAAAACGACTTCGATCATTTTAACATTGCTTTCGCGCCGGGACCAATCCTAAGTGTTACGGTCACGGCGCAGCGGCGGAGTGTTTGTGGATGGATTTCTCAGCCGCGAATGAATTATTTGCGCTGCGGTTCGGGCAGTGCCCTAGCGAGAGCCTCCTCGACAGTTTCCAGGCAAAAACCCATATGCTCATATGATTTGCCTGGGTACTGCCTTCAAGTACCGGTTCAGACCTGTTCAACATACTGGCAAGGGAAGAATACCAACTGGCAGTGGCAACCCCCCCCCCCCCCTCCCCCTCCCACCACAATGATCGGCCGCCTCAACGTGGTGTGGGGGGTGACAATCGGTGTCGAACTGCGATGCACAGCTGAGTGTATAATCTGGCAAGGCCTCGCTCCATATCCGGTTCAGCGATCGCCCCGTGAAAATTAAGAGTAGGTCCAATAAGTCTGCTCTTGTAGGGAAAACCTTATATTAGGTTGTTACATAAGTCTTGTTACACTTAATTTCTAACGGCGATAAGTCATGAACCTCATAATCTTTGCAGGACTCCAGGGTACCATTCGATAGAGCAAAGCAAGGTCTACAAGATGGCCTGCAAAGTTTCGCACCAACTTCGACCCACGGTAACTTTGAGTCCGAAATCTGAGTCGTAGTGAAGGCTCAGAAATTGCGAAAAATTCATATCTTTGTTCAGAAAAACCCTACGAATCTCCAACTTGCTCATAAAAATTGCCCACTTTATCGAACACACATATGTTATGTTGCTGTATTTTTTCCTCATCTAGAAATCGAAAAAAGGAAATTTTTTTAGTTTTTACAAAAACGAAGCTATGCTGTTTCTATTCATGTAGCTATATACTACAAGTCCTTGGAAGTATAACCGTAAATTTCTAGCTTTCCGGAAGCCCTAGTTTTCGAAAATTAACTAATTTAGTATTGAACACCCGAGTGAGAGAAATTAAATTTAGTATTTTGCGGATAACTAGGGCTTCTGGAAGCCTGAAAATTTACGGTTATACTTCTAAAGGTTTGTAGTATACAGCTGTGTAAACAGAAACAACATAGCTTCGTTTTTGTAAAAATTAAAATATTTTCCTTTTCTCGATTTCTAGATGAGGAAAAAATACAGCAATGGTACATATGTGTGTTTGATAAAGTGGGTAATTTTTATGAGCAAGGTGGAGGTTCGTAGGGTTTTTCTGAACAATAATATGAATTTTTCGCAATTTTCGAGCCTTCACTGCGAATCAGATTTCGGATTCAAAGTTACCGTGGGTCGAAGTTGGTGCGAAACTTTGCAGGCCATCTTGTAGACCTTGCTTTGCTCTATCGAATGGTACCCTGGAGTCCTGCAAAGATTATGAGGTTTATGACTTATCGCCAACGGATCCCTCCCGGGTGGTAGCAAGAACGATGTCAGAGTCCTCGGCCGCCTTTTGGATCTGACAAAAACGACTCGTCATGAAGACTGCCTCATGTTCTGCATTTACAACTCCAGGACAGTTTGCACAACCCCGACTTCCATGCTCTTCTCGACGCTGCGGGGCACACCAAGAACCACAACACCGCTCTGCAGGAAACGAGTCCAAGAAGAAGGATGTGCGACAGATGGTGATGGGACGCTCATCATTCGTGGTGAGAAGGTTCCATCACAAAACGTGGGAGGCGTTGGTTTTGTCGCCCACCCACCCATTTTTTCGATACGCACGAGATCCTATCACCCCGACTAGCCATCCTACGACTACGCCCTCCACGTCAGAAGACCATCAGCAACATCAACTGCTACTCTCCAAATTAGCAGCTGACAACTCAAAATAGATGCTTTCTACGAAGACATGGAGCGGGTCGTCCGCGACGAGTAGTTCTTCTAAAAGTTCGTTGTGGGCGACTTCAACGCGAAGATCGGGATATTGATTTGGGCGACTTCAACGCGAAGATCGGGATGCCACTAAAAGAGGAATATAGGATCGGGAAGTTTGGATATGAGCTCCTTAACAAAAACGGCAACCGTCTTGTTTGGCTTCCCTCCGCCGCACGACTTTTTTCATGGAAATTCCATCTTCATGAAAAAAGAATAGGGTGCATAGCAAGTGGTACCCGGGCAGCCGACTGTTGCTGCAGCCAGCCCCGGAGTGCCGGCAAAGCCGCTGCAGAATGCATAGTAGTTACGACCGTCGTTAAAAACTCTTGCCGAGAGCTTTTTCGCACCTCCCGCAATAAAGCGCGACATCAGCCTCAGGAACGTGATACCCTCGATATTTATATCATTTTTATCAAAAACTTCATAATGCCTTGAGGAGCATGCAAACATTTTGATAAAGGAAAATGGTCACAATATTGGACCACTTTGAATACCCAAAACAACCAAAAGCCGAAAAATTTAGGAAATGTTTGATTACTAAAAATATTTTTTCTGGCATTCAACGTTGGAGAAAATACGGGAACAGTTACAGGAAAATTTTATGGATATAACAGTAAGAAAAGTGTTTCAAAATTAGTTTCTGACGTAGTGATGTTAGGCGAGCTAAAACCAGATTAGGTCAATTAAATTGAGTGGGTTATTGATGAAAGATGAGTTTGCTGATAAACGGTGCTATGTAGATGTTATGGATGCAAGAAATAAAACGAAAAATGCACTTCAGTTTGCTGTATTTGAGAAAAAGCCAAAAAGGCAATAACCAAAAACCCATTTCTCTTTAGTTTTGAACCTGTTCGATAAAGATCCTTGTCAGCTAAGTCACAAACGCATACTTCTACATAGACACAAAGATAAAGCTAAAGCCATGCAGCTTATAGGGCCGGATATCTAGCATTTTTGTAAATCTGCTTTCCAAAAAACATTTTTAGAGTTTACAGAAAATTCAAGGTTATTCAAAGTTGCAAGAAACATCTCTAATAAGAAACAAGAAAGATAAAGCTAAAGCCATGCAGCTTATAGGGCCGGATATCTAGCATTTTTGTAAATCTGCTTTCCAAAAACATTTTTAGAGTTTACAGAAAAGAAGAAACATCTCTAATAACAACTTCAACGAAACAGCGTTTCAATTCTAGAGTGTTCATGAAAAAGTAGGTTGAATTTTGGTTTTTCGCTAAAAAATTGAAAATTCCAAGAATACCAATTCGGCACATACATAACTACAGCTTTAGTAGGCAACTGTTGTATTAGGTTGCCCGGAAATTAATGCCCGTCTTGAATTTCAACCGCAATAAGTCATACACTTCTCATTTCCAAATAGGTTGCAAAGTACCATTCGATAGAGCAAAGCAAGCTCTACAAGATGGCCATCTTGCTTTTGTAACAGCTATCATCCACCTAGAGTTTCGAGGCAAAAACTAAAAAAACTCAGCAGCCCGAAAAATCGAAAAAATCATAACTCCGTTCACAAAAATCCTACAAAAATTCTTACTTGCTTACGTAAACACTATCCACATAAAACATCTACATACACCTTTGCCGTATTTTTTCCTCTGTTAGAAATCAAGGAAACGGAAATTTTCGTGCATTTTCCAAAATGGTGTTGTGCCGTCCCCACATAGGTGGTTGTATACTACAAACCTGTAGAAGTATAAACGTAAATTCTTAGCTTTCTACAAGCTTTAGTTCTCGAGAAATTTGAATTTTAGCTTAGACCACCTAAGTAGGGAAAACTATATTCGGTATTTCTCGAGAACTAAAGCTTGTAGAGAGCTGAAAATTCAAGTCTGTACTTCTACAGGCTTGTGGTATACATTTAGCTAGGTGGGGACGGCACAGCATCACTTTGGCAATAACATGAAAATTTCCGTTTTCTTGGTTTCTAACAGAGGGAAAAATGCGGCAAAGGCGTATACAGATGTTTCATGTGGATAGTGTTTACGTGAGCAAGTAGGAATTTTTGTAGGATTTTTGCGAACGGAGTTACGACTTTTTTCGATTTTTCGAGCAGTTGAATCTTTTTGGTTTTCGGCTTGAAACTCGAGGTGAATGATAGCTGTTGCAAAAGCAGGACAGCCATCTTGTAGAGCTTGCTTTGCTCTATAAAATGGTACTTTGCAACCTATTTAGAAGCGAGAAATGTATGACTTATTGCGGTTGAAATTCAAATTGGGCATTAATTTCCGGACAACCTAATATTTTGAAGTCAAAAGTTGCAACAGAAAAAACTATTTTGTTTCGTATCTATTCATTTTTGTATTTTGTATCTTGGAAAATTTCCGCTTGTATAGTTTTGTAAGCCGTGCATGTCAATAGAATACGAATTTTTTGCTGTTCAAAATAATACAGCTACTGAGGATTTCACGCTATCCCTGAGGCTGATATCGCACCTGAGCGCTAAGATGATAGGTAATTACTGTGCCATATGAAGCGGCTTTGTCGGCAGCTTTCGCGGCTGGCTGCGGCATCAGCGATTCAGTCGAAAGCTGGAAAAGAAGGTCTGCCATAGTATCGCAAGAAGGAAGAATGTTGTTCATGGCGGTAACAAGCTGAAGGGGCTCGTACCAAGTTGTGACGGCCATCGAGGAGAATGTAGGACTACGACCTGCTCCTGAAAGGATTGCTAGCCTGCGGAGATTGCGCCTCAGTGACTTCTGAGAAGAACTTGGAACGCATTTCGAACACCACCAAGAAACTATCGAAAGAAGAAGATCACCGAAGCAAGGTCCGAGTGCAACCCATCTCGAGCGA